TTCCTTCTTTTTTCTTTCTTTCTTTCTTTTTTATTATTTATTTTCTTTATTTCTTTTTTTTCTTTTTCCGTACTTTCTTTCTTTTTTCTCTCTCTCTTTCCTTACTTTTCTATCTTTCTTTTTCCTTTACTTTCATTCTTTCTTATTCCTTTTTCCTTTCTTTCTTTTTCTTTCCTTTCTTTCTTTCTTCTTTCTCTTCTTTCTCTTTCCTTCTTTTTTCTTTTTTCTCTTTTTTTCCTTTCTTTTTTTTATTTTTCCTTACTTTCTTTCTTTCTTCCTTCTTTTTTCTTTCTTTCTTTCTCTCTCTCTTCCCTTCTTTTTCTTTCTTTTATTCTTGTTCTGTTTTTCTTCTTTTTTTACCTGTGATGCAGTATAGAGGTCGAGTCTTTTGAGCGTATGTGAGATTTCTATTTATGTTTCTGTGCCATGTAGAAATTGAAGTTGTAACCCCCCCCCTTCTGTCTCTCCTCTCTCTCTTCTCTCTGTCTGTCTGCCTGTCTGTCTGTCTGTCTGTCTCTCTCTCTCCTCTCTCTCTCTCTCTCTCTCTCTCTCTCCTCTCTCTCTCTCTCTCTCTCTCTCTCTCTCTCTCTCTCTCTCTCTCTCTCTCTCGTCTCTCTCTCTCTCTCTACCACTCTCTGTCTCTCTGTCTCTGTCTGAAGCAGTAAAGAACTGTAACTTTTATCGTCAATATAGGTAAAATAACAGAGTATTAACGACTTAAAATGCATCTCATTTTGCCGTTTAGAAGGCTTACGCATAATTTCTACATATATTTGTGTGGGTAAATATTTTCTAAATCGCCAATTTTTAACTAAATTCCCTCATCTTTAAAAAAACTTCTCGTTACACAACAAAGATATAATGCAAATTTCTCATTAGAAGCATTCAGCCTCGCCTTCGTAAGTCCCCTCACTCACTCACTCCCTCAGCCTCAGCCTTCGTAAGTCCCCTCACTTTCTCACTCACTCAGCTCCTACTCAGCCTCAGCCTCCCTCACTCATCACTCCCTCATCCACTCCCTCATCATTCACTCCCTCAGCCTCCACTCCCACACTCACTCCCTCAGCCTCAGCCTTCATAAATCCCCACATCGCTCACTCACTTACTCAGCCTCCACTCCCTTACTCACTCACTCAGCCTCAGCCTTCATAAGCCCCCTCCCTCACTCACTCACACACTCCCTCAGCCTCACAAGTCCCCTCCCTCCCTAACTAACTCCCTCATCTCCAGTCTTCACAAACCCTGGGAGTCCGACCATACCATGGCCGATACGACTACAACACACTCCTGAAGGACGACAAGGTGCTGCTGGACTGGCTCATCACGATGGAGAAGAAGGGCTCGGCGATGGTCAAGAACGCCCCCGACAGAGACATCGCCGGACCCGAACTCATCGAACACGTCGCCTACGTGAAGCCCTCCCACTACGGGTGAGTCTTTGATGTCGTCGAGTCTCATTTTGAGTTCGGCTCCGGTTATGATCTGCGGGGATGTGTGTATCTCTGGCCTTTGTTGCTGTCTCTCGTGCGTTGGGGGTCGAGATTTGGCAATCGTTCTACTTTTTTTTTTTTTCTTTTTTTTTATGAAGGGTTTGTAGCGATATAGATTCCTCCTATTCTTACTTTTTATGAATGGTCTGCAAAGATATAGATTCCTTTTATTTTTTCTATAGTATGCGCAATTGATATATATTTCATTCATTTTTTATGAATGGTTGTAAAGATATAGATTCCTTTTATTCTCTACATGTGCGTAATTGAAATATGTTTCATTTACTTTTTATAATGGTTCTGTAAAGCTATAGATCCCTTCTATTCTTTCTATAGTACGAGTAATTGATATCTGTATTCAAGTTTATTTTTTTATGAATGGTTTGCAAGATATAATTCCTTTTATACATTATAGTATGCGTAATTGATATCTGTCTCAATTACTTTTTAATTAATGGGTAATTTGGTTTTATTTAAAAGATATAGACCCTCCTCCTATCCTCTACAGTATTGCATAATTGATATCTGTCTTCATTCTACATTTTTATGAACGCTCTTTTTTTGAATATAGATCCCTATCTAATTCTTCCTACAATGCTGCTATCTCATATTTATCTCCTTTAACTTCCTTTAGGCTCATTCTCCGTCATCAACCGCCCGAATTCGAACAACGTAGCCTTCACAAAGAACGCAAGCTCGGAATGCACAACGACCTCGCCCAGTAGACACATGCCCGGGGTGAAAGTGAGTGTGTCCTTTGTGTGTGTGTTGCATTGTGTGTGTGTATTGTGTGTGTGTTGTGAGTGTGCATGTGCATTGTGTGTGTGTGTGCATTGTGAGTGTGTGTGTGTGGTAGGCATTGTGTGTGTGCATGTGTGTGTGCATTGGGTGATGTGCATTGTGTGTGTGTATTGTGAGTGTGCATTGGAAAGTCGCTGCAGCTGATCCATGCGTGGCCATCACTCGCTCAAGAGAGATAACGATTAGAGATAGAGAGATCAAATCAAGCAGAATGGATGATCGCAAATTCACTCGTTGCAGATCATCTTCATCCACTGCGTGAAGCAACACGTCGCACCGGCGGGAGAGCGTGGTTTCCGATGGCCTCTTACGCCGCGAGATCCTGCGCAAGACGAACACGAAGCTTTCAATATCCTGACATCCACCGACGCCTATTTCTGGGACAAGGGGACAAGCCAACTACAGCTGGGAGATGCCCGAGTTCTATAAGATCTCCAGGCATCCCATTCTCAACGTAAGTGGAGAGGGTCGGGTCGGGTTTTTTCCACTTTGTGGTTTGGAAATTAGGTTTTGAATGTGATTCTTTCTCTTTCTTTTTCTTTTTCTTTTCTTTTTTTTCTCTCCTTCTTTTTCTTTTTCTTTCTCTCTTTCTTTTTTTTCTCTCTCTCTCTTTTTTCTCTCTTTCTCTTTCTCTTTCTCTCCTCTCTCTCTCCTTCTCTCTCTCTCTCGTCTCTCTCTTCTCTCTCTCCTCTCTCTCCCTCTCTCTCTCTCTCTCTCTCTCTCTCTCTCTCTCTCTCTTCTCCTCTCTCTCTCTCTCCTCTTTCTCTCTCTCTCTCTCTCTCTCTCTCTCTCTCTCTCTCTCTCTCTCTCTCTCTCTCTCTCTCTCTCTCTCTCTCTCTTTCTTCTCTCTCTTCTCTGTGTGTGTGTGTTGTGCGTTGTGTAAGTGTGTGCGCTTGTTGGTGTGAGCGCTACCTGAAGAATAAGATACGTTATTTCATGAAACACGAAATGAATTACTCCTTTTCTGTCCGAAGGTTGAACAGCAACAAGAAGTTCTGCCGCGTGTCCCGTGAACAACGCCGTACGAGACTCCTACCTCGACCTCCCCGCCCACCGTTCAAGGAATTCTACCGCCGCCATGAAACTCTACAACGACAATCTTGTACGACAACTCTCTCTCCTTCAAGATGGACACGGGTGAGTGTCACGAACTTTCTGTAGACGTATTTTAGAAGGTGTCTGTCAATTAAATGTTTATTGGTTTATTCTACCTGTTCTGCATTGACGGTCAATATGTTTATTGGTTTACTTCTTACCTGTTCTGCCAGGTGTGACGGCAATTTAAATGTTTATTGGTTAATTCTTACCTGTTCTGCAAGGTTGTGACGGTCAATTTAAATGTTTATGGTCTAATTCTTACCTGTCTGCAAGGTGTGACGTAAAATGTTTTATTGGTTAAGTTCTTTACCTGTTCTGCAAGGTGTGACGGGTCCAATTTAAAAATGTTTATTTGGGTTTAATTCTTTAGCTGTTTCTGCCAAAAGGTGTGAACGGTCAATTTAATGCTTATCAATTTAATTCCTTAACTCTGTTCGTCAAGTGTGACGGTCATTTGGGTGATGTTAATCTGATTTAATTCTACATGTCTGCAAGGTTGTGAGACGTCAATTAAATGTTTATTGGCTTAATTCTTACCATGTTCTGTCAAGGTGTGACGGTCAATTTGGGTGATGTTTATTAAGATTTTTAATTCTACCTGTTCTGCAGAGAAGCGTGTGACGGTCAAATATTAAAATGCTTAATCATTAATTCTTACCTTTCTGGGACAAGGTGTGGACGGGTTCCGATTTAAATGTTTTATTGATTTAATCTTAACCTGTTCTGCAAGGTGTGACGGTCAATTTAATAAATATTTATTGGTTTAATAATCTTACCCTGTCCTGCAACGGTAATTTAAATGTTTATTGACTAATTCTTAACCTGTTCTGCCAAGGTGTGACGGTCATTTTAAATGTTTATTGGGTGGTTTTAATTCTTACCTGTTCTGCAAGGTGTGACGGTCGATTTAAATGTTTATTGGTTTAATTCTTACCTGTTCTGGAAGGTGTGACGGTCAATTTAATGCGTTATTTTATTCTTACCTGTTCTGCAAGGGTGACGTCAATTAAATGCTTTATTGGTTTAATTCTTACCTGTTCTGCAAGGTGTGACGGTCAATTTGTTGTTTATTGGTTTAATTCTTACCTGTTCTGCAAGGTGTGACGGCGATTTAAAATGCTTTATTGACTTAATTCTTTACCTGTTCTGCAAGGTGTGACGGTGATTTAAATGTTTTTTGATTTTAATTCTTACCTGTTCTTGGCAAGGTGTGGACGGTCTCATTTTAAATGTTCTTATCAATTTAAATAATTCTTACCTGTTCTGCAAGGTGTGACGGTCGTCTTTATTAATTTAATTCTTACTGTTCTGCAAGGTGTGACCGGTCACTCTAATGTTATATGAATTTTAATTCTTACCTGTTCTGCAAGGTGTGACGGTCAATTTAAATGTTTATTGATTTAATTCTTACCTGTTCTGCAAGGTGTGACGGTCGATTTAAATGCTTATCAATTTAATGCTTACCTGTCCTGCAAGGTGTGACGGTCAATTTAAATGCTTATCAATTTAATGCTTACCTGTTCTACCTGTCAATTTAAATGCTTATCAATTTAATGCCTACCTGTTCTGCAACTTAGGTCTAAAATTATTTAATTTCGGATCCCATTTAAGGTGACATGATGACCTTGGACAACGTGCGCTGCCTCCACGGGCGCGAGGGATACGAGGCCTTCAGCGAGCGCCACATCGAGTCCTCCTACCTGGACTGGGACGAGGCTCGCTGCCGTCGGCGCCGCCTGCAGGAGGAGTTCGGCGTCGCGGACTTGAAATAAAATGATTTTTTTTTTTTTTTTTTTTTTTTTTTTTTTTTTTTTTTTTTTTTTTTTTTTTTTTTTTTTTGCTTTGAGGAAATTAATGGCGACACATCATGGAGTTTAGAGCTTGTAATGCTAGGATATTTTGCGTTTCTCGTTTGATTTATGTGATTATATTCTTTTATAATTTATGATGATATATAGGTGTTTCTGTACTTGGATTTTACAATAAAATTCAGTAATATTTTCCTTTACATGTATATTGACAAAGCCTTAATGTAGCAAAACCAAAACTAATAATAGGACAGATGATACGGTTTTAATATTTTATGTCTGTGTGTGTGTATGTGTGTGTGTGCAATGCTGTGTGTGTGTGTGTGTGTGTGTGTGTATTTGTATGTGTGTGTGTGTGTTGTTGTGCGTCTACATAATCTTCCATACACTCACGCAAAAAAACATTTTACACATAAATGGATATCATGACATTAATCTAAGGGAACAAACAGCCAATTTTCACTACACAAAAAATAAAATCTATTATCTGGACAGAGGATACCGAATGAGCATTAGTATTCTGTACTGAAAAGCTATGGGATTATGTTCCCAATATAGCTATAACTGTTTTTGCGTGCATGATGCAAACAATGTAAGTATATTTGCATGTTGAAATTAGGGTATCAGTGTTGCATTTACTGGAATGTTTTGGGTCTTTCATGAAATTAATTATCATGATATTAAGAAGCATAGAAGGAATGAGACATAGAAATAATAGAATAGAATAAATAAATAAACCATAGAAGGAATGATAGAAACATAGAACTATAGAACGAAGACAGAAAAACCTAGGATTTCTCACGCATTAAAAAAACTGAATCAAAATTTGCATAATCTGCAATAGTCCTTATCAACTGCTTAATATTCTATAAATCTGTCTGTCATTAATGATAAAACCTTGCAGAAAGTATAATTGCAGAATATAACTGGAACTCAGAAAACAGATTTGTAGTGAAATAATAAAGTCCCTAATAAAGCCTTACCGGTTATAAATCAAACACATACAACATGGTATTCATGTGTAAGGAGAGGGTAAAAGATTTTGGTTATCTGCATTCTCCTATATATTTCTGCACATGAAAGAGCAGCAGTGATCTAGACACTACGAAGATGTCCACGCAAAAATAAAA